AACAAAGGGACATAATCATGGGTATTTTTAAGAGTGGATATCTGTGTACTGTCTCCCTTGAACCACTGTTTGCCTCATTTTTTTCAATTACCATGAAAAACTCTTTTCTGAATTAGTCCATTCCCAAAATGATAAATTATCTTCATGTGTGTCATAAAATCTGATCATGCTGCAATCAATAGGTTAAATCTTTTACAGTCATTCATAGCAATGCCTTTGTGAATATGACACTTCCACTTCTATAAAATCTATAAGATTTTTCTTGTGATCTCACAAAACTATAGAAAATTAAACAACACCATGCCAGAGCAATGGAAACATGGTGTGACAGGGGCAATAACATCTGAATGAAAGAAAAATATTGGAACCCTCATATACCATCTAAATGTGAGGTGCCCTGTATAATACCTAGCTTGAGATCCTCAGTGTATTTAAGATTTTTAGTAACCCATTTAAAAATAGAATCATTCTGTAGAGGGCCATATTCTGTAAGGCAGTACACAACAATTTTCTGATAGCTAAAAACCTTCATTTACCTTCTGAATTGAAAGGGTCCTTCAGTAACCATCTGACAGCTAAAAGCTCTTGTTTACCCTCTGAATTCAAAAGGCCTTCAGTAACACTGACAGTTAAAAGCCCTAATCTTCCTAATACTGCCCTCACACATACCTCGCGACCTTACTGCGTCCTTACTGCGACCTTGCTACGACCCAGGACGCAGCACAGTCGCCATGGACGCAGCAGGGACGCAGCGAGGTCGTAGCGAGGAACCCAAGGACGCACAAGGTCGCAGACCGTCGGCGACTATTTTGAACATGCACAAAACAGTCGCAGAAACTCTGCGTTCTTGCTGAGTCCTGGTTAGGTCGCAAGAACGTAGTAGGGTGGTCGTACAGTCGCAGGACAGTCGCCGGACAAACGCAATAGTCGTCGTAGAGTCGCCGTAAGGACGCAGAGAACATAGCACAGTCGCAGCTGGGTCGCCGATGATCGCCGTGGGGTGGCCTTGGGGACGCAATACAGTCGCAGTGGAAACGCCATGGACGTAGAAGGGTCGTATTGAGGACATAGAGAAAACGTACTGCACACAAGACTGCAGATCCCCGGACCGTCTGCGAGAGAAATTTTCTGCGAGAGAAATTTGGAAATTTGAAAGAAAACCAACGATTTTCGAAAGAAAAATGCTATTTTACTAGTTTTCAGGTCGCAGTAAGGTCGTAGTTTATGTGTGAGGGCAGCATTACTCTAAAGACAAAAGGCCAGTTAAAAGTCCTTAACCCTTTCCCCCATGAGCATATTGTGAAAAATGGCCGTTTTCACTGAAAAGCCTCCTGTTACAAGTTCAAACTGCTATGAAACTATGAAAAATGCTTCAATACTAATCAAACTTGGCACCAATGTTGACTGGACCATTGCCTTTGTAACGACATGCTCAGTCTTAAATTTCCTGTTACCATGGCAACGAGGGGACATCTCAAAATTGCCAAAAATCACTATTTTGCCTCGATTTTTTTCATCAAAATTTATTTCAAAGTGCTGTAACTGCTCAAGGGATTGAGATAGAGTCAAAGGCTTTTCAGCGTTGGTTTAACGTTACATTATGATCGACCTGGGGTCATTTTTAGCCTCTCACAAGTCCAAAATTTTCTTGGCGATGAGGGGGACTCCGCCCCCCTTCAAACCCCCCTTACAGAAGGGGGCACATCCCCCTTCTGGCAACCCCCTGATGTATCTTTTGGATGGGGGGCGGCGCCGCAAAAATGCTCAATTTTTTTTCAAACGAAAACTTATGTTGGGGGCCCAAATAGGACATTTTTTCACTATTTGAGGCCTAAAAAAGGGGGGGGGGGTCGAAAGTGCGTTGTTTCGCGTATATATGTGGTAAAGGGTTAATTACCTTCTAAATTCAGAAGGCATTCACTAACCATCTCACAGCTATAGGCCTCATTTAGCCTTTGAATGCTTCAGGCCCCAATTTAAATGCGAAAGGACTTCATTAACCCTGTGAATACTACAGGCACTATCCTCCAATTTCAAGAACTCTTTTAATTCTCTGAATGTGTGTAGCCCTCATTAACATTTTGAATTTTAGAGGCCATCATTATTTATAGTGGCACTCATTGATGATCTAAATTCTTGTGTCCCTCATTAATCATTTAATTATTGTGGATCTCATTAATCACCTGAATTATTCTGGCCCTCAATAATCATTTGAATTTGTGTGGCCCTTATTCATCATTTGTATAATTATGACCTTCATAGAGCTTAAAAATTATTGTGGCCCTCATTATTTGTATTATTGTGGTCCTCATTAATGATTTGAATTCCTGTGGCCCTCATTAATCATTTGAATTTCTGTGGCACTCACTAATAATATTTTGATTATTGTAATCCTCATTAATTATTTGAATTATTGTGGCCCTAATTAATAATTTGTATTATTAAGGCCCTCATTAATCAATTTAATTCCTGTGGTCCTCTTTTTTATCATTTGAATCATTATGACCCTCATAAACCATTTGTATTATTGTGGCCTTCATTAATCATTTTAATTCCAGTGGCCCTAATTTATAATATTTTAATCATTGTGATTCTCGTTAATCATTTTAATTCCTGCGGCTATCATTTGAATTATTCTGACCCTCATAAACCACTTGTATTATTGTGGCCCTCTTAAATTATTTAAAATCTTGTGGCCCTCATATTAAGGTGGCTCTCTTTTATCATTTAAATTATTCTGACACTCATTAATCATTTGTATTATTGTGGACATCCTTAATCAATTCAATAATTCTGACCCTCATAGATCATAAAATTATATTGACCTTCATTAATCGTCTAAATACATGTATATACGAGCGTATGTGCCTTTCATTGATATTTTATGTTAACTTATATGAAAATCCTTCAGCAAGCTAAAATGCTCTCATTTTTCACACCAAGGAATGGCCTTGAACTTTGAGTCACAGTTCTGGATCTTGAAGCCAACCCTCTGAGTTAAGGTTATAATTTTTCCAAGTTTTTTAAGAATCAACTCTCTGGCTAAGACTGCCCAGACAAAATCATGTCTTCTCAAGTCTTCACTGTCCGCAATCTGGAATAAACCTTGCGAAGGACATCATTTTCAAACTCAGGTTTTATTTATAAATCACACTTGGCCAGTGAACTTAGAGTGAGGCGTCTAGGTGCGGGGAATCATTTTAAATATACAGCATCTTTTAGCATTAATTATTCCAGACTATTTTTAGTTAAAAAAAAAACATAGGACATTCACTGCACTACTTTATTAATCTATGATACAATGAGCAAATTTTTTTTATTAATATTCCTTGCCATATGATACAAATCAGTTGAAAGTTATACAATATGGATTTCTATGAAAAATTAACAAACAAAACATTTTTTCAATATCCGCCTTACAAACTTATCAAGGAGGATAATTATGTAAATGGTGTATAACAGGAAGTGCATGATGGCCTTAAAATGCTCACCTATACTCCATTGTACAAGTTAAAAGAAACATATAGAGATGCGGTCATATGGCGACCTTCCAGCTTTACCCAAGTAGAACCACAGACATTCAGTAAGCTAGCTGGATAGCTTCCTCACATGAAACAATCAAAAGTCCCTGTCAGAATTCGAACCCACAGCAGTGAGAGGCAAGTGGTTTTTAACCTCTCGGCCATGGACGCCCCCCAACTTGACTGAATAATAGCAATTAATGGTGTGTATAAATGTAACAGAATTCTAAAAATGTTATTTTTTCACTTTATATACACGTAACTCTGTAGATCCCCAAAAATTTGAGTTTAAGTATCTAGTTGCATAAATTAACATACTGACATCTATTTATAGAAAGGTTAAAGGTTAATGATGAGTGTTGAAGCTATTGGTGGGAATAAAGTTAAATTGGGAAGCCTGGCACTGATAGAATATCTTGATTAATATCATAACAAAGAATACTGCAGAATTTTTATTATTCATTAGACTATTTCATTCAGTCTGCTGTAAAAATATTTAGCATTGCATTATTAATTTTGCATTTTTTATCTTTTCCAAACCACAAACAATCAACAAATTTAAGAACCAAGGGATATGTTCTTCAGACAAAACCATGAAATCTTAGGCCCATGAACTGAATTCACAGCATCACAGTATAGTATATCAATAGAAAGAATAATGTTTTCTATATTTGAGATAAAGTGTATAGTAAATGTGCTAAATCTTTTAGAAATAGCAGTGAAAATTTTGTTAGGACTTGTTATAAATTGATACATCCAGTAGGTTTTGCAGGAAAATAAATTTTCCATAAACATTACAAATGCTGACATGTTCTTTTTTCATTTAATCAATAATTAGCAATGATTTTTAAATCTGGGAAAAAACAAGTAAATATTTTAAAGGCATCATATCCATCAAAATAGGTCAAAATTAGCTAAAACACAATTATTATGCTAACTTTGAAAGCATTCAACTGACAATGATGTGTGTTAATAAACTTAGTCATCTAGAGGCTTGATTGACATAAAAACATTTGTAGACGTTAAACAAGCATGTTTCATAAACTTGTGAACAAAGACCACCCAAAGGAGAGACCAAACATGGCCTTCCTAGACAAATGGTCTTTACTTGGAGGTTACTCTATTCTATTGAATCTATTAATTGCTGTCGAATAGAGGCCTTTATTTACATGATTGTCTTAAATGCAGGTGGTCTTTAACACAGATTTTACTGTATCAGAAAAATAATGTATTCCATGTAATAAATCTAATAAGAATTTTTTAATAAATCTAACATAATTAATATTGCACATACTAATCTGCCACACCAATATTTAAGCATCTTATCACTGTCGCATTTCATGTTGCCTAGCAACTGAATATCATCTCCTCTACAATATAATAAATATATATCACAAACTGGCAAGATTCTTTTTTTTTTTCGGCCAGGTGTTTTAACTGACGTTTGTAATGTTTCACATTTGTGATATTTAAAATCTATGTGGCATCATCATTTTCTTGAACCCACTCTTGAACCCGGTTTTAATTTGTAATATTTGACATTTGTAGCTGGTAGTTAAAATCTATGTGGCATCATCATTTTCTTGAACCCACTCTTGAACCCGGTTTTAATTTGTAATATTTGACATTTGTAGCTGGTAGTTAAAATCTATGTTTGTGGCATCATCATTTTCTTGAACCGACTCTTGAACCCGGTTTTAATTTGTAATGTTTGACATTTGTAGCTGGTAGTTAAAATCTATGTTTGTGGCATCATCATTTTCTTGAACCCACTCTTGAACCTGGTTTTAAGGTTGCAAAATGTTTCGCACATCTCAGCATGGAGCTTAGGTCTATCAAGAAATTGTTGACATACGAGTCTTTTTCCGATTTCTTACTGTCATATATCACAACTATGTAAATCTTTGGATCTGCATTGATAATAAAGTACGTACTTTGAACACCCTGAAACAAAGAAGAAGAAAAAGCACATAATAAACTGGTACCATTCTCATTATAATTTAGTTAGTATTATACCCGAATTTATTTTAGTTTGATTGTGAAGTAAGCTATAAGCTTGAAGACACATTCTTGAATCTGTCCCTGGATTCTACATGTAACAGAAAATAGGTGTAAAGATTTTTGCTAAAGGAAATAACAGTTTGCCCCTGACAGGGTTTGAACCTTTGGCCAGCCATTTAAGACAACAAGTCGGATACATTTAACAGTCGGTCTCACAACTACTTCAAAATTAAAAATTTTATACCAAAGGTTAATGTTTTTCAAAACTGTAAACATACTAAACACAGCATGCCAAGAATCTAAGCTCTGGGAAATGTTATTTCTCACAGTAAGACTTAAATGTGTTTTCATATATATAATTCTATATAAATAAAGTGACCACTAGCGTATGGTCTAATTTTGATATCAGGAGGCACAAACCTGTGTTCTGCATATCGTGTCAATATAAGTAACATTACCGCCAAATAATTTTAATTTTCGTATATCTGTTCAAAAGATGAATTTACACTAAATTTTGAAATTCATATATGATTATGTGTGACCTTGACCTGAGAAAGGACAAACATGTGCACTACACATCGTCTCATGATTGTGAACATTTCTGCAATTTCCTTTTATTTGTTTAAAAGGCACAGAGCGGACAAAATATTGTTAACAGACAGACATACAACCAGGTGCAAAATAATATACACTGAGGGGCAGGTTTCCAAAGACATATTTTTTAACCATAACTATTCGTATTACAGCCGCCTTTAAATCACATTTTCTGCTAAGATTGTGAGAATGACTTGTTACAAACCTTATCATATATACATGTGACTTTATCTGTTTCTATCACTCTGTCACTGATCATCATCACAACGTTTGGCCAATGGTTACCAGGGTGATCCTGTACAAAAATAACAAACATTTCATCAATATGTTACCATGTGACCTTATGAGACTTGAGCATTATAAAAAAAAAAGATTCTTTTGGGTTCTTTGTTTTTCTGCTGGCTTGAATTTAAAGTGCATACAGCTATATATCTTCTGCCTTTACTTTTATATTATTTTGGTTTAAATTTTGAAAAAGAATACTTCATACTTCCAAAAAAAACTTGCATATTATAAAAAAAATTGTCTGGAATTTAAGTCCTACTAATGCTGTGGCAGCAGATTTTGACTTTTCAATTCTACAAGTGGAGGAAGAATTCAGGGACTCCTGAGTAGCATCATCAACTGACAGTAATATATTATTTAGCTAGACTGCATTCCCACATGATAAAATTCTAAAGTGCCTGTCAGACTCAGCAACCTCTCATGTTCAAATTTTACTAGTCAAGGAAGACCTTAGGTGTCCCTCGTTTTTTTGTTGACTTTTCCTTTTTTGTTTATATATTTTTTTTTTTTGGGGGGGGGGGGGGGGGTTGTTTGTTTTTTCATGCAAAAACCAGACACCTGAATAAAACCAACAATATTCCGTTAAATAACTATAAATACTTCCTTGATTGACAGTATTCAAATGCCTTGGCAACATTTAAACCCACAGAAGTAAGTGAATCTTTCTCAGCAACCTGAACCACCCAGCCATGGTGGTGTTGGGAGTTTACCCTTCAGATCATGACCCCAAACCCTGAAGGTTAATATATAATTACCCCAGGATATGAGAATATAGCAGGATAACTATCAAGCCCGGTTGGCCGGTCAAACTGTTTATCCGGATGGTGGTAGCCCGGACCCTTGTACACTTGCTCGATGTCCTGAGCATCCAGCACCAGTGACACATTCAGAGCATCAGTCTTCTTCTGGAATGCTACAACCCTGAAAAAAAACAACAAGAGGGCCATGATGGCCCTGAGGTCGCTCACCTGTATATAGGCCCCCCCCCCAACGTTGCAGGGCCAATTTAACCCAAGGGCTTTTATTTGCATAAACTTGGTAGACACCCATAAGAAGATGTTTCATGCTAAACATCTAAGCTCTAGCTCATTGGGCTTTTTAAAAGAAGATTTTTTTAAAGTTTTTACTATACACATATTGTTAAAAACAATGACACCCCTGGGGCCGGGCCGAGTTGACCCCAGGGCTTTTATTTGAACAAACTTTGTAGACACTTACTAGAAGATGTTTCATGCTTAATATCTAAACTCTAGCTATTTGGGTTTTTTCAAAGAAGATTTTAAGTTTTTGCTATTCTCATATAAAGAAAATCAATGACTCCCGGGGCGGGGCCAATTTTGACCCCAGGTCTTTTATTTGAACAAACTTTGTAGACACTCACTAAAAGATGTTTCATGCTTAATATCTTAACTCTAGCTATTTGGGTTTTTTCAAAGAAGATTTTTCAAGTTTTTGCTATACACATATAAGGAAAATCAATGACCCCTGGGGCGGTGCCAATTTTGACCCCAGGGCTTTTATTTGAACAAACTTGGTAGACACCTATTAGAACATGTTTGATGCTAAATATCTTAGCCATAGCTCTTTGAGTTCTTTAAAAGAAGATTTTTTAAGTTTTTACTATATGCATATAGGGAAAATCAATAACCCCCCGGGGCGGGGCCAATTTTGACCCTAGGGCTTTTATTTGAACAAACTTGGTAGACACTTATTAGAACATGTTTCATGCTAAATATCTTAGCTCTAACTCTTTTGGTTCTTTAAAAGAAGATTTTTTAAAGTTTTTACTATATGCATATAGGGAAAATCAATGACCCCCTGGGGCGGGGCCAATTTTGACCCCAGGGCTTTTATTTGAACAAACTTGGTAGACACCTATTAGAACATGTTTGATGCTCAATATCTTAGCCAAAGCTCTTTCAGTTCTTTAAAAGAAGATTTTTTAAGTTTTTACTATATGCATATAGGGAAAATCAATGACCCCCGGGGCGGGGCCAATTTTGACCCCAGGGCTTTTATTTGAACAAACTTGGTAGACAACCATTAGAACATGTTTCATGCTATATATCTTAGCTCTAGCTCTTTTGGTTCTTTAAAAGAAGATTTTTTAAGTTTTTACTATATGCGTATAGGGAAAATTAATGACCCCCCTGGGTGGGGCCAATTTTGACCCCAGGGCTTTTATTTGAACAAACTTGGTAGACACTCACTAGAAGATGTTTCATGCCAAATATCTAAGCTCTAGCTCTTATGGTTTTTTAATAGAAGATATTTAAAGTTTTTTCTTTTGGTTGCCATGGCAACCAGAGTTCTGCATGGAATTAAATTCTTTGAACAATTTTTAAAGGTGACCACCAAAGGAACATTCCTGTGAAGTTTGGATGAAATTGGCTTAGTGGTTTATGAGGAGATGTCATTTAAAGTAAAAGTTTACGGACTGACGGACGGACGCCGGACGAAAAGCGATCACAAAAGCTCACCCTGTCACTTTGTGACAGGTGAGCTAAAAAAAACAAGAAAATCTAAATGCCTAGAAAGTGCTGGTATTTCTTAAAACAGCATTATACCCATCCAAGTGTAAATGCTAAGTAAACAGGTTAAGTAAAGTTACTTTACATTTTGCCATAACTGTGTTCAATTTGATATTTTACTATGAAAAATAATCAATAATCCATGTGACACAAGGACATTTCAAAAAAATATTGTTTGGAAAGTATTTTTAAAAAGATTAGAGCAGTTTTTTTATTATTACAGTAGTATTTACATCTCATACTAAACATTTTATCAATTATTGGTCAATCACTATTAAAATTGTCAATATATAACTATTTCCTCACATGAAAGATTCCACAAGCCCAGGGCAGGATTCAAACTCACAGCAGTAACAGGCAAGTGGTTTGATGTAAACAACCTTGACCACTCAGCCATGGGAGGAAGATGCAACCTTAACCACTTAGCCATATTAGGAAAATGGTAATGAAAAAACCACTTACTTGGTAAAGTAATCCTCTAGATTTTTGGCTGACAATGCTTTCATTTCAACAGGTGTGGTTTGTTTACTCAATACATCATAGAAATACAAGCTAAACTGGAAAAAAAATAACCCATCTCTTATCAAATGAGGACAAAACAATCAAGAACAGCTGTCACATATAAATACAGATATAACTTGCACACAAAAGCTTAACAAAGTTGTTTCAAAAGATTTGATAAGTCTAAACTCCAAAATCAATGCCAGAGTTTATCCGGAAACCATTTTTTGATTTTAATCCCAGTGACCTTGACATTGGCCCCAGGGGGCCTAGACCAATCCCAAGCAAGGTCTCTTCATACAATGTTGGGTTACAGTATCTTATTCCGAACTCTAGTTATCGTCCGGAAACCATAAAACCGACCGACCGACCAACAAGCTCATTCTAATATTCCCACCTCTCCAAATCTTTGTTTATTATAACCATCATTTTCATTTTGGTACCATCCCCTTTGTGGGTGTAAGAAAATTTATCCATGAAAATGAGTCAATAAGTTTTTTCTATAAATACAGGATTTCATTGAGTGGTATTAAAATAAATATTTCATGAGTGGTGGTAGCCACGAGTGAAATATGATAATTTTCATAGCACAAGATGAAAATGAATTCTGTATTCATAGAAAAAACTTGAAATTTCTGTTTATTACATACATTTTTCTCTTTTTAGACATTATAATTTGAAAGACTTTCCCTTAAATTTTGTGTATTGGCTGAATTTAGCACTAAGTAGTCTGGCAAGACACCAGTGAAAATACAGAAAATATGTTTCACTGCAGTGAAAATATGGAAAATATCCTTCACTGCAGTGAAAATAAAGAAAATGAAAATATGCATTTTATTTCATCAATATTTCTAAAAATTTCATTTTTAAGTATATAATAAAAAATAAGTTTATGTGATGAAATTGGCGGATAAAACAGTAATATATCTCTTGCATCTCTATTGCCTGATTTGAATCAAGAACCAAAATAAGCATGTATGTAATCCATCATATTGTATTGGTACAGTCTGATAATGACGCCCCATGTGTATAACATTCTCTTAAGTGATAAAAATACACTAACAATCTGTATAAAAAATTTATGATAGAAGGCAAAAGGGGCTGGGCTTTAAGATCCATTATTACCATTTTCCCTGTAATTATCAATATAACCAATTTCATTTGTGTTTGTAATCCTTACATTGAAATATAATCTATGTTATACATACTAATTAATATTATTATATATACTTAGTAAAAACAAAGACAAATTATTCCATGATTACCGTTCGGGATTTAAGCATCTCAATAATTAAAATAACAGATTTTTCTCAGCATTAATATCTATTACGTGAATTTCAACATGATAATGGGATTTATTTTTGTTACTAAGGAAACATACCTTATGTAGGCATTCTGATTTGATCTAATATTCTTACTTAAGAGAAAAGTACATAAAAGATTTCATGATGTTTTTATCTTATTAACATGTATAATCTTCTCTTGTCTACGCAATTTGTACCTCAGATTAGCATCTAAATGAATTTTTGAGAAAAAAATAAACGGATTATACATATTTTATCACCTTGGCAACCAGTAAACTCTTGTATCGTAGTAACCACTGGTACAATGCCGGCCATGTTGATACAGTTTTTGATGAATGGCCAAACATACCTTTCTTAGTTGTCTGAAATGTAAAAATAAGGAAGCTACTTAAATGTAACATTTAGGCCAGCTTATTCTCTGGAAACTTAATAGGAACATGAGTTTATTGTCCCAGCTGGTGATATCATTCTTTTCGTATAAATTTACAGATCTGATTCACACGTTGTATTGTTTTTCCTGATTGGGAAATATCTATTGTTTTATGCAATCTATCTGGGCTGGGCTTTTGCACGTACTTTCTAGGTGATAATTATGCTTTATATATAAAATTCATTGACACTCAGTCCATGTTAGTGTGAAACAATTTTTAAAAGAAACAACAAAGTTCGGCTTCTGAACCAATATGTATAACCACATGGATATTTCGCAATCAGGAAAAACTATACAAAGTGTGAATAGATCTGTAAATTAATACGAAAAGAATGACATCACTAGCTGTGACAATAAACTCACATTCCTAATGAGTTTCCAGAGAATAAGGTTTCATGTTCTGTAGATACAAAATTACCAGCAAACTCAGAACTACCAGCAAACCCTGATCTACCAGCAAACCCTGAACTACTAAAATACTTGGAATTACCAACAAAACCTGAACTACCAATAAATCCTGAATTACCAGCAAACACTAAATTACTAAAATACTTGGAATTACCAACAAACCCTGAACTACCAGCAAACCCTGAATTACTAATATACCTAAAATAACCAACAGAACTAGAATATTACAAACATCAACATATGTTTTCTTCATTTAGCAATTTGTTAAAAATACAAGAGTGCCATGATGGCCCTGAAATTGCTCATCTGTATATAAAAGCTCTCCATGACAAGGAACAAGTAATATTGTAAACTATAAACAAAAGCAGATATAAAATCTAAATCTTAAACTGATATCACAAAGTTCATATTTGTATCTGAAATAGTGCATGTGTAAAAACATTACTGGTTGCTATTGCTAAGGGAAAACAACAGTTCCAAAAGATGTGTACATATAAGGAAAATCAATGACCCCCACGGGGCGGGGCTAATTTGGACCCATGGGCTTTTATTTGAACAAACTTGGTAGACACTCACTAGTTTCATGCTTAATATCTAAGCTCTAGCTCTTTATGTTTTTTTAAAGAAGAAAGTTTTGAGTATAAACATATAAGGAAAATCAATGACCCCCCCCCCCCCCCGGCAAGGCCAATTTTAAACCTAGGGCTTTTATTTGAACAAATTTGGTAGACACACATTAACAGTTGTTTCATGCATAATACATAAGCTATAGCTCTTTGGGTTTTTTAAAAGATGTTTTTTATATTTATATTTACATATAATGAAATCAATGACCTCCTGGGGCTGGGCCAATTTTGACCCCAGGGCTTTTATTTGAACAAACTTGATAGACACTTACTAGAAAATGTTTCATGCTAAATATCTAAGCTCTAGCTCTTTGGGATTTTTAAAAGAAGATTTTTTTAAGATGTTACTATATACATATAAGGAATATCAATGACCCCCCGGGGCAGGGCCAATTTTAAACCCAGGGTTTTTATTTGAACAAACTAGGTAGAAACTGACTAGATGATGTTTGATGCCAAATATTTAAGCTCTAGCTCTTTTGATTTTTAAAAGAAGATTGTTTAAGTTTTTTTCTTTCAGTTGCCATGGCAACCAGATTTCATTATGGGAACAATTTTTAGTTGACTACCAAAGGAACATTCCTGTGAAGTTTGGATGAAATTGGCTTAGTGGTTTATGAGGAGATGTCATTTAAAGTAAAAGTTTACAGACGGCCGGACGCCGGACAAAAAGCGATCACAAAAGCTTACCATGTCACTTTGTGACAGGTGAGCTAAAAACATTATCAAGTGAGAAAAAAAAGGCATACATGTACCTCTTTTGCCTGGGATGCCGACCCCCAACTTGTTAGTTTACTGTGTGACTGGTGTAACTGTAACAATGTCTGGAGAAACTCAGCCTGTGACATGAGTATCTGACTTTGTAAAAGATGATTTATTACATCACATTCGTACCTAAAGAGTGAGAAAACAAAAAGCATCAGATAAATGCCTACAGTAACAAAAGTTGTCCGCAATACCGCGCGCTTGACTATTCTCAGTGCTTGATAGAAAGAAAAGGGGCATAACTCAGTCAAATATTATCTCAGAGTTAGGGAATCTGTTTCAATCATCTTAGATAAACACAGAGAGTAAGAGTGTAAAGTTTCAATCTGTTAACTTAAGTAGTTTTTGAGATACCGACTTGCATGCAAAATCTCAACCAAAGTGAAGGATCGGGGCAAGAACAATAGCATTCCCTATTCTTCAAATAGTGGAGCTAAAAAAATAATATGACAGATTCAAAGTAAAAGCCTATGCTCAAAGGGGAAACCACTAAGTTTCTTTTTAATCTATTAATGTTTCAACCATGATTCTCTGTAATCATGTAAAGTGTAAGAAAATTCTCTGTTCTGTTTTGAAATTTCCTGCTTTTGCCTATGTAAAATTGTTGCATTACTCACGAAACAACTTTAAGTCTGAAGTAAATCTCTTCAGAAAAAATCTTAATTAATTAAAAGGGGAACTCATAAATACGGGCACTTAGGAAGGTGGCGCTTTTATAAATGTGGCCGATTGGGCAGTTTTGACTGTAAAATATAGGTGCTCTAGATATTTTACTTTTATATATACCGGTATGATAAAAAGAAATTTATACTTGAAGTTTGAGGTAAATGCATAAATTAATAGAAAGAAACACATTGTAGTAAAAACTATTTCTAAAATTTTTACTTTTTACTGGTACAGAGAGCAAAACATTCTGAATTTCTGCAAGTTACATGTATATACTGTACCAACTGTTATATCAATTATCCTGCTGTAAAACAATATTAAACCAATAACATACTGTAAACAGACGGACAATCAGACAGACAGGACAAAAACAATACTTGTGCTGTTGCCAATGTCTACTGATGTGGGAGGCATAACAAAAAGCTTTTTTTAGTGAAAATTAAATAAATGTCTTACGTGAAACTGGACTTTAGGCCGGCTAGTATTGGATGGTGAAAATTTTTACTGTGTACATGAATGATTTCTGCTATGACGTCAACAAGATCTTGGTAATTCATATTCTTATTGGTTCCCATCGTGCTTATCTGCTCATAGCTGAGATCAGGCTAAGGAAATACAAATACGAAAAGTTTTTTTGGCATAAAGAACAATACAATGCTCAGAACAAGTATAAATTGTAATATACAATGTTTGGTGATCTAAACATGGATTTTACAGCAGAAAAAAGATGATTCATGAAATACTGTGTTCAATATTCAATATTTAGCCCTTGCATGTATAAGTTTCAAATAAAGAGGCGCCAACCTACAATATTCCTAATAGTCTGCACTTCACTTATTAATACACTTGTTTGTAATGAAATAAAAACACTATGTTGATTCTTTTGTTTGACGTTTTCCTAGATGTTTTCTTCATAAAAATGTTGCCATAACCTGCAGTGTTTCTTAAATGGACTTGTCCAACTCTGTACCTCCATTCTTCGAACAGTTCATTATCATATTTTAAACTGGTTAGCCAACAGTATAAAGCCTGGTCAAAGTAGTGGCCTTCATTAAAAAGGTCTGCATTAAAATTGTGAACATTATAAAGAAGGGGTCTTAATTAAGAAGTGGCTTTATTTAAACTATATAAAGTATTGGTCCTTATTTTATTTAGTAGTGTTCTTTATTATGAAGTGATCTAAATAGCAATCTCTATATTAACAAGATATGTTTGTAAAACATGTATGCCCCCTATCAGCAGCCAATTAGTCATGTGATAAGGTTATTATGCATGACTTCTGACCCAGTGATCAAACAATTAATAAGGGTTATCAAGTATCTACTGGTCATGACCTTAACCTTTGACCCCTTGACCCAAAACTCAATAGGGGTCATCTGCTGGTCACGACCAATCATCATACAAAGTTTGATGTTCTTAGGCCTAAGCGTTTTTAGTTAATTGATCGGAAACCGTTTTAACCTTCAAGTTCAATGTGACCTTGACCTTTGACCCCTTGACCCCAAAATCAATAGGTCATCTGCTGGTCATGACCAATCACCATACCAAGTTTGAAGTTCCTAGGCCTAAGGGTTCTTTAGTTATTGATCAGAAACTGTTTTAACATACAAGGTCAATGTGAACTTGACCTTTGACCCCAAAATCAATAGGGGTCATCTGCTGGTCATGACCAATCACCATGCCAAGTTTGAAGTTCCTAGGCCAAAGCGTTCTTAAGTTATTGATTTGAAAGCATTTTTACCTACAAGGTCAATGTGACCTTGCCCTTTGACCCCTTAACCCCAATATCAATAGGGGTCATCTGCTGGTCATGACCAATCACCATACCAAGTTTGAAGTTCCTAGGCCTAAGGGTTCTTTAGTTATTGATCGGAAACCGTTTTTACCTAAGAGGTCAATGTGACCTTGACCTTTGACCCCTTGACCCCAAAATCAATAGGGTTCATCTACTGATCATGACCAATCACCATATCAAGTTTGAAGTCCCTAGGCCTAAGGGTTCTTTCATTATTGATCGGAAACCGTTTTTACCTACAAGGTCAATGTGACCTTGACCTTTGACCCCTTGACCCCAAAATCAAAAGGGGTCATCTACTGATCATTACCAACCACCATACCAAGTTTGAAGTTCCTAGGCCTTAAGGTGCTTTAGTTATTGATCGGAAACCGTTTTTGCTTACAAGGTCAATGTGACCTTGACCTTTGACCCCTTGACCCAATATCAATAGGGGTCATCTACTGGTCATGACCAATCACCATACCAAGTTTGAAGTTCCTAGGCCTTAAGGTTCTTTAGTTATTGATCGGAAACCGTTTTTGCTTACAAGGTCAATGTGACCTTGACCTTTGACCCCTTGACCCCAAAATCAATAGGGGTCATCTACTGGTCATGACCAATCACCATACCAAGTTTGAAGTTCCTAGGCCAAAGGGTTCTTTAGTTATCACTCGGAAACCATTTGGTCTACGGACCGACGGACCGACGGACCGACAAGTGCAAAGCAATATACCCCCTTTTCTTCGAAATGGGGGCATAATAAGAAGTGGTCTTTATTTTACTAAGATTTGGCCTTGATTAAGTAGTGGTCTTAATTTTATTAAGAATTGGCCTAAATTAAGAAGTGGTCTCTATTAAGAATGGCTAACTTAGAGGAACTCTTTATTTACTACAACAAGGTATTAACAATCGGCCATCTTTCATTAAGACAGTGTCCTAAATGAGAATGACCATATTCTCAGCAAGAACTAGAAGTTGTGCTCTTTACTTTTAAATGTGGTCTTAAATAAGGGTGAGGAATTTAATAAGGGTGTGGTCTTTAATAAGGGTGTGGTCTTTAATAAGGTTTTTTTTTAAACTCTTATCATACAGTATCTGAAAATGATTAATCTTTGCCACAAGTATATGCAACCAGGATGGCTGACAAACTTTAAATTATCATTTAGATACTTGCAAATAATGATAATGTTCCAAAAATGGAAGTTCAAAAACTCCATTTATTCGGCAGGTTTATTCAAGGTTTAAAATTATTAATCTGTTGAGCATCATTCAAGGATACAAGTCCATTGTTTTCTGTCGGGCTCGGATATATTCACACAGCTGGCCACAAAGGTGTGACAGGAGGAGCTCAAACTCAACCATTGGTCCTGGTAGCCCAAGCACGATATGCTCCTGCTGTCTCACAGAGTCCTCTATGCGGCGCAGTTCTCCGAGTAGTAAAAAGTAAGAGTTTCTTAATGTCTGAAATACAACAGATTAAAAAATTAGTTTATCAATTGTAAGTTTTATCATAAATAAATGTTCATTCTGCTGCCAATGATTTTTTTTAATTTACACTTTCAGCATCTTGTATTCAAACATGTCCATCTGCTGCATTTGTTTTTATATATACAATATACTTTTTGGCAGGTTTTGTTCAACAAAAATGCCCGCCCAGTTAGCTCAATAGTTTTGAAATTCTGGGGGAGCTGGTTTGATCAACAAGGTGAAATTTCACAGAGTCTAATGGTCATTTGTCTTTCACCACAGATTCAGAAATTATGGTGGATGAGTTGTCTTTATTTCATGCTTTCCAGTGTTTTATTGTAATATATCAGATGATTATATTCTGATAAACCACTAGTGAAATTTATAAAATATAATTTTCACTGTAGCCGAACTATATCTGAATGCGGATGAAAAGAAAATCATAACTAAATGGAATAACAGGCAGAAATAAATGCCGTCATGCGTAAATTTTGCTTCTTTAGGAAAAGAAAGTCGACGTCACCATACATCATGTTAAAAATGTAACAAAATAAGAGAAATTTAACAGAACTATATTTCAAAATTGATGATGTGACGTCATGATGTGATGACGTCAAAAAGGAGAATGCGCGACATTACGCGGCAAAATCAGTAAAAAATACTTAAAATCACTTAAAAAGCATGAAATAAAAAGAAAATTTATTTGTTTTACATATAAGATTGAAATATATTTCATTCGTGAACACCAGCTATTATATTTTCACTTGTGGCTACGCCACTCGTGAAAATATTGCATCTGGTGTTCACTCAGTGAAATTATATTTCAATCTTACATGCAAAACAAACAAATATCCTCTATGTAATTAGCAGTGAAAACAGTCAGTTATCCAGCAAAGCTGGTTAGGTGAATTGACTATTGAGATATTAAGAAAAAAATGTTAAATTTAAACAACTAACCAACCAACAAACATTTCCATTTGGTTTAAAAAAATTTAAAAAAGATTTTACAGTATCTTGTCTGTAACAATTGTTTTCTTCTATTGTCAAGAAATCTTCTATGTCTCAAACTGGGCATCACAATAGTAAAATCAATAAAAATTGCTAGAAAAAGCATTGGAATTTGAACGCATTCTTACATCTTTCCTTCCGAACCACTTCTGCTCCAGGAAACCCAGTGACATGTATATTTTCTCTGCCACAGAAAACTGTATTAGGGAGTGAACCATAAGTGCCCAAGATGAACCAAATGATGCTTTATGTATCTCCTTCTCTTTATCCTATTTTGTAAAAGATAATCTGATTGGCTAATTCTATAATAACAATAGAAATGATGGCTTTATTTTAAAGAAGTAACAGAGGAAAGGCCAGTCTTCCCTGTGAGCCTCTATCAAAAACATATATACAGTTACAATTTCATAAATAACAAAACATTAACAGATTTTTATACTGCATACAAACACTAAAGGTATTGAAACTAGAAATGTGTTTGCCCCCACTTTGCATTGTTTCGTTAGTCTAGTGAGGTACAGCAGAACAGTATGGTAGATGGTCAGACAATGAAAATTCTACATGACTAACCCCCCCCCCCCACAAACACACACACTACTAGTAGTGTCTGAAACTTGCAGACCTACGTACAAGCTTAACACAGCTTAAACTTAGCTTATCTTATATCAATATCATATGTTAAATACATATACTTTTTGCTACAAAAAAAGAGATTTAATTAGGAATAACTTATAATCACCATCATATCCTTCGCTTTATCAAAGGCAAATTGACTAAGTAGTTCAAAGTACGTCTGCAGTTGACTCTCCTCTTTAGCTCCGATTGGTGACATTGGTGGAGTCTTTGGGGTAGATAAAGGCTTTGGGGTAGATGGACTCTTTGGAGTGGATGGCTGTGACATGCTTACTGCTAAAATTATATAATCATTTTTATTAAAATTACTACATGAATTAAAATTACAATATTCTTGTTATACTTGTTGTTTTACATATCACTTCTAACACTTGTATCATAATTTGGGGACCTTTCTGTTGAAAATGTGTCTGAGTTAAATCGTATACATATACATACGGCCCCTCGTATAAATCAGATAGCTTCGTGTTTCGATGCTCTTTCTATTACTTACTATTATATATATATATATTTTGTTGGGTTTTACGTCGCACCAACACAGTAGAGAACATATGGCAACTTTCAAGCTTTACTGGAAGAGGAAAACCTCAGGTGCCCCTTTGGGCGGATTAATTATAAATACCTTATACACAACACTTATAAAAAGCTAATTGTCAGTTTAGGATAATTATTTAGAGATATCTTATTATCTAGAGATGCGGCGACAAGTCCACTATTACGGTGTAATACAGTTATCATATTTTGTTTATTATCTTTAGGCACACAGTTTTGCGATATGAATTAAAATATTGACAAATAAATCAAATGAAATCGTAACACAATAGGTAACGTTGTCAGTTTATTGTACTTTTTTCTCGAAAATAATTTCTATAAATAAACAATCAAATACGAATATGTAATATTTTTTCTTGACGTAAAGAAGTGTTAAGTATAATTGTGTTAATTTCTATTAACTTCTCATTTCACATGTCTTTTTTTCCAAAAAGTAATATCTAGCAAATTGGTAAAACCTTAAACTGAATACTTAAAAACAGAATGAATATGTGTGCACAAATTGTTTCAACAATATTTCAGTTGGCACGAAATACTGCACAAGTATTATAACTACTTCACACTATAAAGGTTAAAAATATTATTACCAGTATATTTAAATTATTAGATATTATATTAAAACTATCTTTATTTTCCAATTCATTTGCATCTTCAGAAAAATTGAAAAAAAGGAAACAAAAAAAGAGAAAAAGTTAGACAACTTGTGAGGCTCAAACTCTTGAAAAAATTTACTTTGTATTGCATCCCAATGTAACTTTACCAACTTTGCCATCAAGACATTTAAAATTCTGTTTTTTAATCTAATACTATATTCGCTTCTAAAAACCCTGTTTTACCTATTCAGACAAAGGTTGTAAACTTTTGAATACACAAAAAATGTGACGTCACTCACATTATAATAGCAGTACAGTACATGATTTTAAGTTCAATCACAGGTTAATTAAGGCTGAATGTTGTTATTCGTTGGATAGTAGTGAGGTTAATACTGTCTACATTGTATATACATGCCTAGGAATGGGTACCATTATTCTAAACCATAATTAATTAATTAATTACAATTAAATTGAAAACTTCTCAATTACATTTTACACAATCACATGAATTTTCGGATTGTAATAATCAATTTCAATTATTTTGAACAAAATACATAGAGGATATTTGTTTGTTTGTGTGTAAGATGAAATTTTATTTCATCGAGTGGGCTTTAAAAACAGTATTCTCACAAGTGGCGTAGCCACTCGTGAGAATACTGTTTTTAAAGTTCACGAGATGAAATAAAATTACATCTTACAGAACAAACAAACAAATTTTCTTTTTATTTTATGCTAAAAAACAAGTTAAAACGAAATTTCCATAACATTAACGTAAATATTAAAATCTGTTTTCCCCATTGAGAGCCCCATTTAGTCAGAATTTCTCATTAAAAGCAAGAAGTCTTGAGCTGAAAAATAAGTCCGACAATCAACCTTAAATGACAGTGATATTATTTATTTTATTTCAAAAAATATATAATCATAATTAATTACTTTCAAATAAAATTCCATTTATAACAAAGTAATGAAAAAGATACTTGATCAACATGAAACAAGAGCTGTCAGTAGGAGGCTACTGAGGACAGTGCATTTGACTATACTCAGTTCTTGATAGTAAAACAAGAGCCTGGATAATGAAGAATTTTCTAAGTAAAAAAAGCCATAATTCTGCCAAAATCAATTTTAGAATTATGGGCCTTGTACAGAAACCTCCAATAATGCTCTCAAATAAGTTTGTGAAGTTTCAACCCATTCCCTTTGGTAGATTTGGAGATACCAAATTGTATATGTACCCATCTTGTACACAGCTTCTGTAAATTTATTTATTTTCATTTTTTTCTTTAATTTAAAAGAACTAAGGCCAATAGCCTAAAAATTTGAATATTTTACATACATCAGCTGGGCCACTCAAAAAAGAAAGCTATGATACTCATTACTGTTATTCATCAAAATACTCAGCATAAATTGTAAATCATATTTTTGTGCGCTTCTTAGCTCAATTTGAGTGAAAAGCATTGTATCTAACGCTTTTCAATTTTGGCCAATTAAGAATAATTATTCTGGACATACAGAGAGAGAGGGATAGTCTAAAATTTTGCACAAAAATTATAGTGGTCCAGACCTACATTAAATGGAATGTTAACCTCTAAAACATTATGTCCAGTCCCAAGTGGGAATTCTTTTAAGAAATTGTTTTGTACTATAATTTCTGTAATATCATGTAGATAGTAGCTCTAATTATAAATAGTTTAAGTGGAATAACATTTTACCCAGCTGTATATTTTCCTATTATTAAAAGTCTTTCATAATTTTTTAGTATGATTGTCTGAAAAACAGGATGTTTGTGAAAAATAACTACATGCATTAACAAGGGGAAAAATAGCACCAGTAAAACACCTTCAGGCATTAATGACCATTATTCAGTGGCTTAGGAAAGTCAATGGTTGCTTTAGAAGTCACTAGTGGCTGAAGAAGGATAATAGTTGCTAATGAAGTCCCTGGCTGCTATGGAAGTCATTGGTTGCTAAGGGATGTCAACAAGAAAAATCAAACTTACATTTCCCACATTTTATATGTATATATTATCTTATATACATTATCTTTTATTTCAATTTTTAACTTTTCTTAGTGGCTTAAGGCACCAACTGTTTACGTTTTGCACAGGGATTTGACCGAAAAGGAAGTGAGATAGATGGACAATCCAACTGGTCAGACTTGTCAAAGAGACATCAAGATAATTTCTGATGTGAGATGTCCTCTTCCAGGTCCAACCAAGAACTGCATTTTTATAAAAAAAAAAATAGTGGACAGCACAAATTTATAATAAATGGCTGGTATGCCTTAAAAGATCTGCTATTGAATTAATTTTTGATTGAAATAAGTATCAAAATATACTTTGTTTATTCTTATGATTTTCAGAAGAACTTGAATATATGTTGTTTCATATTGACTGTTTAAATCAGTTGAAACTAGTGTAATAGTGGTCAGGTTCTAATGAGAATCAATGCTTTACACGGAGACCAAACAATCACAAATTATAACTGGAGTAAATTCTCAGGGCTCAGTAGATTTATATACAAGTGTCACTTTATAAATATGATGGACTAAACAACAACAACTAGTAAATACAATTTCAATCAATGCTTTTAATATATGAAAAGCCCTAACAAATTGAATGAGTATACTAATCAAATTATATTTAGTTTTATATTAAGAATAACTATATTTATTATTTAATTAAGATTATGTTTATGATATTTTTATATATGGTCGTTTATAATAAACATAAACGTTTGTTAAGGACTAAGTCCAGTTTAATGTTTCAAGGCTAAGCCTTGTTGTACTGACCAGAGTAGGCACAGTACCTAACCTCGCTAACATTGCCAAAGTCAGCTTATTTATACAATTCAGTATTCACTACAACAATTTGATTGGTTGAGAATAATATTGTATATACCATGCAATAAGTAAGAAAGAAAGTAACTCTTAACTGTTAACTTAGATTACCGTAAATACCCATCCTATTACACTAGCAACAGTGATGCCAATGAATTTTCAGTGCATAAAAGTGAATTAACATTAGATGTAAGTTATGGTTTAACAGTAAGTAAAATGGGTCAAAGCACTTACACCAAACTAATTGGTGCACCAAATTAATTAGACTTACATGTAAGTGGTCTTCAAAAATTGATTTCAATTTAATTTAGCATGCATGGTACATGTACATAGCAGAGGCTAGCTACATGTATAGGGACAGATTTCTGTCTTCTAGCTGATAAAAGTCAGATGCTATTAAGTCATGGTTCTGGTAAGGAAGAGCACGAGGCATTTTAGGGGGAAATATTAGCTTTTTAGGGGGAAAATATACCTAATTTTGGCTAGAGGAAACAGCCTTTATTTGGCTGTAAAATACAGTGAAAAAAAAATAAATCACTGTACGTGTTAGACATTGGACAATATATCAGACATATATCCAATAATGTCAAAGACACTAGACCGTGTCAGTAAGACTATTGCCTGCTAAAATAATGGTTAAAATTTTAAATATTTGGGGGCGGAGACGGTCTACAATGCGGGTCTCTCACTCTCTGTCTGGCTGTGGTTGTATCCGAATGATGTTCAACTTTATACATATCAAGTGAAAAGAGAAAATACAAGATTATTAACTATTTTCAATGCATATATTACGTAAAGAAAGAAATATCAAAGCAATGAAAATTATCAAAATGATATGACAACAAGATATATTGCCATTTCCATAAATATTTAATAAAATATTACGTTGTTGTTGTTGTTGTTGTTGTTGTTTGGCTGTATACCACTAAATGTTTTCCATTTCTCCAATCGATCGTCTGTCTATCTACCTTTACGCGTCACCAGTGAAGAGGTTAAAACATGAAAAGGGGAAGTTCAAAAAAGTTTAAATTAATTCTTTAAAAAAAACCTGGACAGGTGAGTACGTATTTTAGGGTGAGGCATGCCTTATTGAACATTGGCCCAGACAAAGTGAGACCATCTCAAATGAAAATGGTCCTGAAGAAGAATGAGTATTTGTATTCACGAATTCGAAAACCTAGCTAAACGCCGTTTTCCGGTACTTTCTGTACATAGCTCTGGGGAATTCACCTAATGGAGTGTAATAGCGAACTCGTTGTTTTCGGCCTTTTTTCAATTTAAATTGAAATAAAACAGTTATTTCTTTATAAGAAAATAATTAAATATCATTGTATGAATAATTCCATACAAAAAATAAAGTAAATACACAAGTTTATGCAGAAAATAACCTTATTTATTATGGAAGATTCCACTACGTCTGTTTGAATTTTATTGATTTTCATTATAAATAATTTATTTTTTTGAATACTTTGCAATAGATATGAAAGGAATATTGATAATTTTCAAAAACATCAATTTTTTTCACCTTAAACGGTTAAATAATGATAGAAAAATAGAAATATCACGTAACTGTGTTATGTACTTCATTTGGTGTAATTCCCCAGAGCTAAAACGGTAACGTACCGGAAAACGGTGTTTAGCTAGGTTTTCGAAACCCGTGTCCATTTGCCATCACGTGAACCACCGAATTCTTGCAAAACATTAAACATTTATACAAAATGATGTAAAATGTCTACACTATGTATGCGATATATTTAAAACGTTTAATGTAACATATTTATATAAATTATACGCATGTATCCAAAAAATCAACGCAGACCTTGAACACTATAAAATGTATGTATAACAAAATAATTTTGGCAATGAATTTGAATTTAAAAGTGTTTGTCCCGAAGAGTTTAAAAAAACAATTTTTAAATCAAACGTATTGTGATAGTCGGAAATTAACTGTTTACACATCGAAAACAAAAACTATTGTATTTTCTAAAGGGAGACCTTTTCAATATACATGTAATTTTACTTTATAAGAATGAATGTTTAGAAATAGTTGATAAATTTGAATATTTAAGTGTAACATTTATCAGAAGTGGTTGTTTTTGTTACGGCACTGATACAGCTAATCATGCCACTAAAGCAATGTACTGTCTTAATATTAAGAAGTCGAAATATTTGCAGTTAATAAAAGTTATGCAAACAGGTTTATTGGATGAATTATTTCAGCCAATTTTATTATAAATGAGTGTGAGTGATGTAGTCATAGTAAAAATACTAGATAAAGTTCAACTGAAATATCTAAAAAATATATTGAGTCTTAAATCAAGCAGTATCTGGTTAACAGATGCCAAGCGATTAATACAAGAATGATAAAGAATGATAAGCTAATTGACAAGCATTAAATGGACAATACATAAATTATTCAATGTACAAAACATTTATGAGTACAAGCACGTGTGTATATATTTGTTTAGGAAATAACTATAAAATCTGATAAGAGATAATGATGAATGTCTTTAATCAAAGGTGTTATATTTTCGACCATTGAAGATCCTTCAGCACGAAGTGCATTTGTTTCTTTCCCATTTGGTGTTTTTTTTCAAATCTGATGGTTCAAGTATTCCTCACTTTAATACTGTTTAATCACACTAGGATATGATGTCTGCTTTTTAATTTTTGTCTTATGACAGCTTATCTGTGATATGCAGGCTTCATTAAACCCTGTCCCTTTCAAAATTCCATTTTATATAATTCCGCCCATAGCTTTCTCGGTTAGTGTACACGCACTTTTTTGTGGGGACCATATGCCGCTTTTCATGGAATGGCACTAACGTGGCACATTAAAGATTACATGACTCCGTGATGTTTCAAAATTCAAAGATTTACCAGTCCATGTTTAAAAGTTGAATTCTGCTTAAGTCGGTGATAGGGGGCGTGAACGGTAGCTTGAAATTAACAATTTAACACTACCAATCATGAACTGGCTAAATCAAACCGAGCCTGCAACATTTTCAGTTTTGCCTTGATACGCTTCCTTTACGGAATTCTGTTTTTCTCTTCCGGGAAGCTGTGTTTTCGAAAATTTACTAGTTGAGATAAACAAAGGATTACAGTGTGAAATAACTTTGAGACTGAAATTTCTCTTCGATATACTGATAAAATCGAGATACAAAAGTCGAGATAAACAAATATAGCTTATCCATATAGATAATGAAAGAACAATCGCGACTTTTAAAAATTACATCGATATAACGAACAATCCAGAAAAGCGATGTTGACTGTATTAAATATTTCGAAACATATTTCGCACAGCGTCTCTTAATATTTTATATCTGAAGACCATCAGTGTTGTCCTTAAAGAGTTGGCTGTAAACATGAATATGGTAGTCACAGCTCGTAAATAGCCAATAATACCTGGCGATTCCTGAAAAAGTATAGCTATGCATACAGCCATGTACAGTAAAGGGAATGTAGACTCGAATATTAAAGTTATGCATATGTCCTTCATAGCTCTCGAGATACTTTTTTGCATTTTGGCTTGTATTTCATTTTGTGATAAAATAGTACGTCTGTTGGAAACGTGAGCACGGTCTTCACATTTGGCTTGATGGGGACTCCCTATATAACGTGTTTCGATCAAATAGACTGGTTTAGATGCATGACCTTCAGACACATTATTCTGCACCACCTCGACGTCAAGCGTTTGCTTATTTGGTAAATTACCACTCAAGCTCTTCTTAACTTCCCCAGTAGCAGATTCGGTATGCGACTGGTCTTTACATTCATCTTTCTTTTCAGTTTGGTCATTTTCAAAGTAGAATCCCATTTTCTTTTCCCGGTCCAATTCTTCAGAAGCGATATCGGGAATTGCCTCTATATTACTTTGAGTTGTGTTGTTCGAAATGTCAGTTGTGTTGGGCGGGCTGTCATGTTCAATCGTTTTGTTTGAGCTGTTCTCTTTGCTGTATTCATTTTTAAGTGTGTTATTCGAGCCATCGGCAGTGATGTCTATTTGATTAATTGTGTTGCTTTGGCCATTGTATGCCTTGTCTGTTTGATTAATTTTGCTATTTGAGCTGTTTTCTGTGTTGTCCGAGTTTTTAATTGGGTTGTTTGGGCATTTGGCAGTGTTGTCTGGTTTATAGATTAGATTTTTTGAGCAACTGGGTGCATTGTTTGAATTGTATGTGTTGTATGAGCTGTTCAATGAATTTTGCGAGCGGTTAACTGTGCTGACTGTTTCATAAGTTGTGTGGATTGAGCCGTTGAATATGTTGTTTGATTTATGAAATATGTTGTTCGAGCCGTAGACTGAATTGTCTGACTTTAACATATCAATTGTGATGTCCGATTCGGTGTCTTTGTTTTCTGAGTCAATAATTTTGTTGTTTGACCCGTTGTCTGTGTTGTCTGGGTTATTAAGTGTGTTATTCGAGTTGCAAACAGGGTTTTCTGACCTTTTAATTTGGTTATTTGAGCTGTCTGTTTGGTTAATTATGTTGTTTAAGCCACTGTGCCTGTTGTTTGAGTTTATGATTAGAGTCTTCGAGTCTTTGACTGTGTTGTCTGTTTCATAAATATGACTGTTGGAGCCAGTGTCACTGTTGTCTAAAATATAAAGTGAGATGCTTGATCCGTTGACTGCATTATCTGAGTTTCTTGCATTAATTATGTAGCTTGAGTCGTTGTTTGTATTGCCTGAGTTATTTAATATGTTATGCAAGCCGTTAATGGTATTCTCTGTTTGATAAATTGTGCTGTTTGAGCCGTTGATAGTATTGTCTGAGTTGTTAATTGCGATGTCAGAGTTTGCATCTGTGTTATCTGATTTAGTATTTGCGCTGTCCAAGTCCGTGTACGTGTTGTTTGGTGGTGCGTTGAATGTGTTTTCTGAGTTATCAATTGCGTTGTTCGAGTCCGTGATTGTCGTGTCTGAGTTTTTAATTGCGTTTACTGACCTATTGTCTGCGCTGTCTGTTTGGTTAATTATGTTTTTTGAGCAATTGTCTGTGTTAATTGATTCACAAATTGTGTTGTTTGGGCCGCTGTCTGTTATGTCTGATTTAGAAATAATGTTGTTTTTGTCTTTAACAATGCTGTCTGATTCATTAATTGTGTTGTTCGAGTCATTTAATATGTCGTTTAATGTGTTGCTAGAACTGTGTGTTGTGTCATTCAAATCGCTAGTCTTACCCTCATATTTGTACATCGTGTATTTCGTGATGTCAGTTGTGTTTTCTACACTGCAACTTGTATTGTGTGTACTGCAAGTAGTGTTTTCAGAACCACTAGTTGTATTGTCTGAGCTATAAGTTGTGATGTCTGAGCTACTAGTTCTGTTGTCTGGGCTGCAGGTTGCTTTGTTTTGACAGCAAGTTGTGTTGTCTGAGCTGCAAGTTGTGTTGTCCGAGCTGCAAGTTGTGTTGGATAAGCTGCAAGCTATGTTTTTTGAGCTGCAACTTGCTTTTTCAGAGCAGCAAGTTGTGTTATTTTTGCTGATAGTTGTGTTGTCTGAACAGCAAATAGTGTTGTTTGAGCAGCATGTTGTGTTGTTTAAGCTGCAAACTATGTTGTGTAAACTGCAAATTGTGTTGTCTAAGCTGCAAGCTGTCTTACCTGCGCTGCAGTCTTTATTGTCTGACGTGCAAGTTTTGCTGGAATGATATTCTTCTATATCTTTGTTCTTTGTCATGTTTCCTTGATCTAATACCTCCTTCTCCTTGGATGGTCCATACATAAATTGCTGTTCTTGTTCCTTATTTATACAAGGAACTGAAGTTTCAACCAAACGACTGCAGCTTTTCTTTTCATGTGTTATAATAACTGGCTCTTCAAAGCTTCTATTTTTTCCTTTATGGTTAATCTCTCTATCCACATTGTTAGTGTTTTTCGGTGTTCTGAACATCACCTTTGATAAAGTGTGTTTCCGATTGTGACAAAGTAATACCACATAAAGAAGTATACACACCACATAGGGTAGTGCAATAAGCATGGACGTAACTAAAAGTAGAACCTGTCCGTTTTCAAATATCAATAAACCACATTGACTGTTTGATGTAGCTGCACTGTTTATTTCAACTCCACTGTCTACATTTGCTGTAAAGATATATGCTCCAACTGATATGACAGATAAAAGGAATATACCTATATTCATCAGTTTAATTCTTTTACTCCGATTACTTGTGTATGGTGCTGAAAACGAACTTGCACTATTCCATATCGTTCGGAACCTCTGTATGAATATGTAGGTTGACTGTAATGAGCTTTGCACCATTTGGGAAACTAAAACAGTACTGAAAATTCTACAAACGGTAATTGATAATTCGCCAAAGGTGATTAGTGACAGAACGCTCACACTTGCCATACTTATTCCAAGAAGACACATCGTGTAAGTCATGTAGCGTAAATTTACGGCGTATTGCGGCCATAACTTCTTGCGATTGGCATAGAAACTGGCAATAACAATGCCGCTAAAGACAAAATTCCAAACTGACACAGCGGTAGTAAATACATACACTATTTTTGACATGTTCGATTCGTTGCTTCGTTATTTGCTCCTTTTTTGTTTGAATATAATGCATTTTGATAGTTAAAACATTTTTAAAGAACGCTCAACCCTTCCTCTGTAATAAGAATGCCTACTATAGGTAGACATGTTTTATAATTAATATTAACTTTGTTAAACATGTTTCAATCTCGGCAGAAGCCGTTAAACTAAATACAGTTTGCTTAGGCAAATATAATATCTACAGTAATCAGGGTACATGTACTTCTATCACGTGACTTTTTGCGATATTTGCGTCCAGGTAATATAATGAGCTTGCTAATTCTTGTGAGTAAGCCGTGCTGTAGCGCCGATATATGTCCAAACGTCGAAAAATGTCCAAACGACGATAAATGTCCAAAAATTGACGATAAATGTCTCAATCGCCGATAAATGTCCAAAACTCCTTTAACGATAAACGTCCAAAAATTAACGAAAAATGTCGCAACAAATTAGGTGCTCATAAATGTCCAAATCGGTTAACGATAGATGTCTCAACTTTTCATATGTTAATTTGTAATTTATTGTATTGGATACTGTAACAATCTATCCAACTAACCCGTGATTTTACCTTCTGGTTTACCCCCGACGTAAAATGTATCATACATTATTGTGCATGGCCAGTTGCAGATCCGGATGGGGCGCGGGGGGCATGTGCCTTCTTAACTCACCGCAGCAATACATTTTAGCATTGTTTGTGTTCTTCAATATTTTTGTGCCCCATATAGCGTTGCCATTGTCCGTCCGAGTGTCTAAGTGTCCGTCCCGAAAGTATGTGAACGGTATAGGGGCGTGGACAGAGTTGCATATTTCTTTACTGTCAAGTGGTCAAAAGTTAAGAAAAATATGCAACTCTATCTGGCAAACAAAGCAGTTAACCTGTATAAACTATGTGAGCTAATCAAGGGGTTAACTGCTTTGACAGTTAAAATCTGACCTACTGATTCAACAGCGAACAGTGCAGACCTTGACAGGATGAAGCATTTGCTTGTCGGGGGATATGGTTCGACAATGGTCGTTATAAGCATATACGCAAGACGTGTTAAATGGGTTTTGTGACTTTTCTCTTAAGTGCTGCGAAGACGGTCCTTCTCATGCTACATTGATTTAAGATATTTGTATTTGATTATTACTCATTCGCGCGTGGTGGACTGAACGCCACTGCGGGGCCACCGCCTTATAAATACAGAGTTTTGAAAGGCTACTTACATGCATCCCTCCAGTGTCGACCCAGATCAGTTTGCACGCAAATGCGCTATTAAACACCAGTAATTGATAGTTAAGGTTTTGTATGTCCCTACAGTGTGGCACTTTCAAGATCAACCTACATGGTTATACATGAATATAATGTATATACATGTATAATCAAGTAAATGTTTAACTAAATAAGGAGAGTAACTGCTATATTACCATTTTACACCTTCTGATTGGCTATAATTATGTCGTGGGAACAAGATAATTATTTCGTGGGAACAAGATATTATCTCTTGGGAACAAGATAATTATTTCGTGGGAACAAGATAATATCTCGTGGGAACAAGATAATATCTTGTGTGAACAAGATAAATAAAGACACCCATGTATCACATCTGTGCCACCGTAATAGACACTTGACGTAAATGTATGTTTTCTTGCTGTGCTGGTTGGATACAAACATGTACATTTAAAAATTACTTATATGTCAAATATTAACTTAATAATGTTATATAAATAACACATGGCTGTCATTTTGCATCATGCTAACTGGTTACTAAAGCATTATCGTTTTTATCAATACAGAGTTATGTAAGGGTTATGTACCCCAGGGTGATATAAGAAATATTCGCCGGCAAATATATTCTAGGAGGGTGATATTCGATCAGAACACATTGTAGGCCTATGGGAGTTTACATTGAAGGATATATTGAGGTATAATAATATATAAATAACATATTGCTGTCGGGGTGATAGAGGATATTGTCAACCCGAGAAGTTGTATATTACCCCGAGGCGCAGCCGAGGGTAATATGCCAGTTCAAGGGTTGCACTATCCTCTATCACCCCGACAGCCATATGTTATTTATTTTATTAATACCGAAAAAAAAAAAACCTTAGGTTCCAAAACATTCATAAGAGAAAATACAGATCAACACTTCAAAATTATAGCGATTTTGATCTGTAAACACAAAAAATGTATTGGAGTCATTCTATATTTTCGAACATTTTCTGTCTACGGCCAAAACTTTGTACTGTCCTAGGATGATAACTTGAGCCTTTGTTTACATTACAAAGACCAATAACAATGCGAAAAATAGGTTAGGCAGATCAATGCCACAATCTATAATCAAAGTGCTGCAGCACTGAATGCGACGGACATGCAACCGGAGAGACATTAAGGCTTCTTTAAGAAAAAAAAAAACAAAACAAAAACAAAACACAAAATATATAACAGAGAAAATTTGTTCCATACAAGTTCGAGATTTGTAGAGCAATATATTTTGTGTCCCAAATTGATATAATTCAGATTTTCGATTTCAAGCACTTAAATACAGAATGAAATTTATGCCTAAAAACTCTCGTCAAACTTGTAAATCAGTGTCCTTATCGATTTATTCTAAGAAATGATATGTAAATAGAAAAAAAACTATCAACGAAATATTTCTAGAATAAATCCAGGCAAATAAACTTCAAACATAATACATTATACATTTGAGAATGCTATTTAGAATTGCTTCGTGTTATATCATAGTGGGCATACAGACAATAAAATATAAGTCATTTGTATTTTTATTTCTCTTGGATTTGTCTCATTAAAAAAAAAATTGGTTAAAGTCATCAGCAATTAATAGTGTATTTCTTAGATTTTTTTTAATTACAAGGTAAAGATGTAGAGGCCAGAGCACATCGTTTTTATTTTAATTTAAATGCCACTTAAGCACTACAGTGTTTAGTTGTCCTTTTCAACTTCACACTAAATTCCATTTTCAACTAGTTTGCTTCTTACAATTGTATAGCATTTCTAAAAGTATTGCATTACAATCCGCTGGTTTATTAATTACATGTTTAATGTGTACTTCCTAATCGCCTGTCCAAAAATCAGAACAGGTGAAGCAGAATCTATTTTTTAGAATAGCGAAGGTTAACTCATATCATGACCTAGTAAAATATGTAAACAAACCACAAGAATCGGAAGTAGAACTGATATTATAACTTCCTTACCATGAAAGACTACATGGCGGTAAAGTGTCTTACATGCATTTTCAAAAATAGATATTTATACTAACCATTGTACTGTATCTAATATATTAATAACTGCTGAATATTCAGCTAAACCCGCGGTATGAGTCACGAAAATAGTTCTTCTTTTATTAATGCGCGAGTTATCCTAGAGTCACGAAAAACTTTTGATTTGTTAATAATAATGTTTTGTATAATGTAGAAATATTTATTTCCTACTAATAATGTCTTGGAACTCAGAGCTTACACCTTTATTGTAGTATAATTTGCTGTCCTACTTTTTCGACAGCGGTAAATCGTTTCAGCAGTAATTTGCATATTGCGCAATAATACTACGGGACTACAACGTTTTTATCAATAATATACGTTCATATTTTAACTTGGATAACTTAATTTGAAATTGAAAAGGCTTAATATGGAAGACATTAAGATATCCAGACAAAGTATGGGAGTTTTGAAGGATCAAATTCATGTACTATTTCTTGGGCTGTTAATTGGTTTAGGACACATTGCGCGATAGTAACCAACGAAATCCCATGTGTAGATGACTTAGCTCTGAACGCGCCTGAGGGCGCGTCCGTCGCAAAAATGAAAATAAAACTACATGTTATCATATGTCTTGTTAGCGCAGTAGGTAGAGCAACCGTGTCAGTAATGAGTTTATCCGTACAGACAGAAGTTCGACTACTGGTACATTTTTTTTTTTACCTCAGAACAGTCAATTGTTTGACCGGTTTTATGCATACATGAATATGAGATCGAATATTTTATTTCACTGTGATCAAAAAATACAATCAAAGTGCTGCAGCACTGAATGCGACGGACATGAAACCGGAGAGACATTTAGGTTTTTTTTAGAAAAAAAAATAAAACACAAAATATATAACAGAGAAAATTTGTTCCATACAAGGAGCAATATATTTTGTGTCCCAATCTGATATAATCCCGATTTTCTACTTTCAAGCAGAATGAAATATATGCCTAAATAGTGCTGCAAATTAGCCCATTTTACTAGCCTATTTAGAGGGGTAACTGGTCTATGTCAGCCAACAGCAAGTTTCATATACCAAAATGTTCGTCTGGATCTGTAGTTTCTGGAATGGATATACATTTGGCCCAACCCCGATGCGAAGCTAAGATATCCAAGATGGCGTCAAAGATGGCCGCCAAATCTCTAAATATTCTAGTATATTTACGTTTGCTTATTTCCTTTTTCAGTTTTGTAAATCTTTTGAAATTTTGCATAAAATTTCTTATTTTAAACTTACTCATGCTATAAATTTTGACTTTATTGATTTTTTTCTAGTTTTCATCGCCTAATTTAAACGAAAGAAGAAAAAATATGTTGCAAACTGGGTGTGCTTTCTGAATATGTGTAACTTATTAGTTTTATTCTTGTTTAAACTGAATAACATTCATGATTTCGTTTAATACAGCTTTAAAACTATATCTACACATATTTAGAATACGTTAGAATAAGCGAACTATGCCATAAATGTGTTTTATTGATCTAA